AGAATGCTCATTTGTTTGCAGGCACGAGAAGAGCGGACGTGGAATGTGCCCCTTGCAGACCTGGCACGTTTTCTGATCTTGAGTCTCCCGAGGCCGTCTGCACCCCCCACAGGACGTAAGTCTGGGGTCACGTGGTTTACCATGAGCTTCGGGGAGGGGAATCCTGCTAAACCTATGCAGGAAAAGTCCCAGTAAGTGTTGTGCACTGTAGACCTGCCAAATCAGGGCTGCCCACAGGGTGTGGTCAAAAAAGTCAAGATGGTGGCAATCAAAGGACTGCCCCTTTTTAATGTGCATCGTGGCTGCCATCTTGACTCTTTGATCGTCACTTGTGAAGGCTCCTGTGTAGGATGACGATTGCATAAATTTCAACATCCATTTCATCAGGGGTCTTGGACGTACGTATAAGGTACCTCAAAAATATAGCAGTAAGGGAACAGCTGGGGAATTGCAAAAGAGGAAAAAAGAGACATTTGCATCTTATTGTGGCACAAATGTGCCCTGAGAGCATCTTTTTTCAATGAAAGAGGAATATTGATTTCAGATCCATGCAACTGATATCAATCAGCAAAGATCAGAGTAAAATACCAGCTCATACTACATCCAAATTCCTATCAAACGGCAAGTATTTAATACTACTAGCAAGTATGATCCAGTGGGGTGCTAAGAGGGGAAGGAATATAGAGGTGCTGTAATTGTTGTATCAGAGGTTTCTAGTGAATGAGTTCAAAACTTCCATAAAAACCATTCAGGAACTTCAGCCAAGCCAGACCATTCCACGTATTTCTTTAGCAGTTTATCCTGGCATTCCTTGAGCTAAAATAGCAACGTACCCAGTAAAACCTGAATTCCTGTCGATAGAATTAAGAAGCGGTTTCTTTTCGCTGGCCTTACAGGACCTTTAGGCAGAAGCAGCTTATGCGTTCAGAGCCCCCTTGCCACGCAGGTGTCTGTGACACTCCGTGGTGAGGGCGTACACGTCACAACCTCACTGTGCAGCTGATGCAAATTTGCATCCTGACCCCTGTCTCAAGAGCATAAGTCACATCACTTGCATTACGATATGCGTCCGGAGTCCTTGGAAGACGGGCGGTGTACAGGTTTAGAGGACGATGACTGAGTGGGCATTTGGCTCCCGCGTTCCCCTTGGGCATCCAGGGTTTTACGGTACTGCTGTTGGCTAATTGTGTAGGTAAGAAAGGGCTTTGGTTGCATGGTGGTGGGCGCCATCTTAACTTTTTTGACCTTTCCTGAGGACACCCCTGGTAGGAGAGCAACAGCAATGTCCTGTATTCTCTTTCTCTTTTCCTAACCGCAGAAAAACCAAACGCTTTGCGCAAAAGCTTAAAGATTATTTTGGCGGGGCGAGGGGAGATGTGGTCGCCTTGCATGACCCACTTTCCATCCCTTGGTAGCCCCTCAGCTGGTCATCCTTGCCCATTAGAAACGAGCCTATACGGCAGATTTCTTTTAGGGTTCTTCAGCAGTCAGGAATGGAAATGACGGAGCAAGGAGCCAGGTCCTCGGAGCTCTGGTTAGGAAGATTGGTTGGGGAAAGGGTTAACAGGGCAGCTGAAGAATTGACGCAAACATGCGTGGACTGTAGGCACATTTGGGGGGAAACAGGACATGTGTATCGTCTGGGAGGCGGCCAGGCCCCTCCTGTTCTTTACACAACATCAGTTAGCATCTTGAGCCAAGTGAGAATCCACTCGTAGAAACTCCCCCAGATAACCCTTCCTTGGCATTTGGTAGAAACACAGAACACCGGAGTGGCTACAGATTACGGGAGACAGGACTGTACAGTGATAAACAGGACATCCACACGCCGCTCTCAGCCATCTCCTCGCACTACAAGACTCTACTCCCCTGCTGGCTTCTCCTTAAAGGAGAGAGTTTAAAGAATAGAAACGCTAAAAAAAGAAAAAAAAATTGGCAGTGTCTCCAAAGAGCTCCGGAAATTGACTTCTAGATGCAGTACGTAGACCCCTTACTGAAAACACCTCGAGCGTCTTAATAAACATTAGATCATGTTTATTTTCTGAAGGTAAGAAAAAGGGTGGAAGTTGTGTCACAGCAAGTTCACATTTGCACAACAGATACCTTGTCTGAAAGCACCTGAAGTTAGGTGGCGTTTCTCACTCGCTTGTTTCGGTCGCTCTTCCCTACAGCTGTAAATCGGTGCTTGTCCCTGGAAACAGCTCCAGCAACACCATTTGTCGCAATTCAGGGGGGCACATTGACCTCAGAACAACTTCTCTGCGCCTCACAACCACTACAAAGAGGCCAATGCCACCATGGCACGTTGGTACCAGGAACGCAACCCTCAGCGTCAAGAAGGATCTATTAGCAGACACTGGTGAGCGAGACTGAATGAAATTGTGAAGTTTGGCGTCTTCATCCTGTCTAGAGAAAAGTGGTTTAGTTGAGAGAAAGAATTTCTGCTTGTTGTACAGAAGGTCTCCAACATCTACAGGGAGGGCTGAGAAAGATACCTGCTGCCAGCCTTCAGGATTCAAGCCCATAATCCTCTAGGAACTGAACTCCAATTTCCATCATCCCTGTCTGATGGAGTTTAACAGCTACATGTTCTTCAACACTGAGATGCATTGGTGGGTTGGTCTAAGGCAGTTTCATAGCACCAATAGGGACTCAATAGCTCTTACACGTAGAAGGCCCCTGGTTCAATCACTGGCATTGCAAGGTGTAATGGGCTGTGAGAATCACCTTGAGGAACAGGAGGAAGAGTCACAGCCAAGGCAACAGTCAGATAAGAGAAATCTGAGTCTGGGGCAGAAATGTAGTTTGAGAAAGCGTCTCAGACTGGACCCTCCATAGTCTTGAATGTAAAGGGAGGGAGGGGAAAGGTGCATTAAGACTTACAAGAATGATGTCAACATTTCAAGGTAGACCAGACTAGGAGACCAAAGTCATGCAGGCTAATACGACTTTTATTATAAGGTTACAATAACAGATTCTTGTGCCTCCCCCCCCTCCCTGTATCTTTATGAGAACTAGGGAAGGTCATGTCTGAGGTGCTTCCTCAAATTACATTTCTGCCCCAGACTCAGATTTCTCTTATCTGACTGTTGCTTTGGTTGCAGCTCTTCCTCCTGTTCCCCAAGGTGGTTCTCACAGCCCATTATACATGGTCATGTTGGAGAAGACCCTGGGATGCATTGCCAGCCATGGGTGACTCCAGCCCTGGATTGTGGTCACTACATCTGACAGCCCATATCTAGCACAGGAACGCTTCCTCAAAACAAATTATCATAACAATATGATAAAAATAAAGCATTTGGGTGGGTGAGGATGTATTATATAGCTCAATTCTAGAGATACCATAGTTGGGCTGCAGAAATCAGGACCCCATGAGGTGATAACAAAGAACAACTGATCTCTGCTTCCATCTAGTGGCTGTCTGGATTTTTCACAGCCTAGACACGCTACTGCAGCAATGACCCAAACCTGCCCCCAGAATTTCCATTGTTTTTAACCTAATTTCCCCTGCTGCAAACGCTTTCTTTTTTGTGAGTGCAAAGTTTCCAGATATCTTCACCTCATGGTTTCCTGCCAAGGAGGAGGAGACCACAGTTGCGATTTCTTAGCATCGCTTGGTCATTCTAACTGTGCCTTCTGATCATTTTTTAAATTAATTTTTTATTAATTACAAAAAAAAGGAAAAAAGCACATAAAAATTCTTTAACATAGAAGCGCCTATAACCACAACAACAAAAGTAAAGGAATATGTATGTACTTGAACAATATTTGTATTAGATAAGCATATATAGAATTGTAACTGTGTACTATTATAGCGCCTTTTTATCATTCTGTTTTCCTTCCAGGCCGGATTGCTGGCATGATTGCTATTCCGTTACTGCTCGGAGTCATAATTTGCTTCATTGGTTTTAAAAAAAGTGGTAAGTTGGGCCTAAAAAAGGCAGAGTGGAAGAATTCTCTTGGCTTATTATTCAATTATTATTACAGTTTCCAATGAAATAAATTGATATGGCAAAACTGGTCCTTGGGCTCCGAACCTGGAGCAAAGTTAGCTCAAAGGGACCTAAAACTGTTAAGGTTCTCTTTGCTCACACTAAATAAGTGATAAATAAAAGCACCACCATTTTTGGAGCTATGGTGGAACCAAACTACCAAACTGAAAGCAGAATTGTGTACATTTCTCTCCCCATTACCATTTTAACCGCCTTGTCCCACTTTGTGGCACAAAACTACAATTTCTCTTCAAAACTGGGCAACTGAGCTGTAAAATCAGCCCCCTTGGAGAAGCAACTGCCTTCTACAGGTCCTTCTCCAAACTTGCTCTAGGATGAAGAGGGACCTGAGCTGGGTTTTCACTCTCTAAAGAATAAATGTCATTTGTTTAATTTCAAATACATGCCACAGAGATCAGACCTGCTGCAAAGACCAGGATCAAAGACCCCTTAGGCTTGCAGGACAAAAGTGGGAGGTGGCCATCCAGAGTCTTACTTGGAAGTTCAGCCACCTACCCAGAGAAAGTTAAGGGGGCAGAGAGCTTCTGGGCATAAAAGGGGCAATGGAGAGCAACCTCCCGCATTAGATTATGGAAATGGCTGTTTTTGTGACAGGCTTCCCCAGCCGTAGCTCAATTGGTGCCCACCTTAGCATCATTTCAGGCCCCAGGGAAGACCTTTCTGTTTTCCCAGGCTTCGTAATGAACTTTTAACTGTGCGATGATTCGTATTATTTTAGGTTTTGAATTACTGCCTTGTATGGTGTTTTCATTTTGCATGTTATCTGATTTTACTGTGTGTTTTTATGCCCATTGGGTTTTTGCAGTATGTTTTACTGTAAATCACCAGAAACAGCTTTGGCTATTGGGAATTTTAAAAACCTGCGGGGCTTTAGGATAGAAGAGTCTGTAATGGTATGTGGGAATGACCTTGGGAGACGGGGGGAAGAGATGCTGCCTAGGGAACGGTCAGATAAGAGAGGGCAGAGCCCACAGCTGCATAATGGGTAGAGAGAAAGACTCAGAAGGGACCCTCCCTAGTTTCTCAGGCTGTAAAGGAGACCGGGGCAGGATTGTACTTTCAGACTTGCAAGATTCTGCTAATGCAGCCTTACAATAAAGTAGAATTGGCTCATCTGGTTGTGTTTCCTGTCTGGTCTAGCTGGGAAGGCTGACAGTCTGGGACACATGCTCCAAGTTTCAAATGTCTTCACTGGTTCCCAAGAGTCATGCTTACTTGTAGCCTCCCAGATTGAGGTCCCAGATTCCAGGGGCATGAAATCTATAGGCCAACTCCCCCCACCCAGCCAGCATAGTCAACAGGGAGGGGTGGTGGGAGCTGAAGCCCCTGGAATAGCTCTAGTGATGACGAAAGGACCATCTCCTTATTACATCAGTTTTCAAAAGCTTGAAAAGTGGCTCTGTTTAGCATTTGACTCAAGTGAGAGTGATTGTTTTCCTAACAGAAACATCATATTAAAAAAGTACAGGTAGTCCTCGCTATCCAACCACGACAGGGACTGGAATTTAGGTCACTAAGCGATTTGCAGCTGATTTTACCACCTTTTTTATGACAGTCATTAAGCAACTGTCCTCTAAACGTGTGGGAATACAAATCTCATCATCCCTTCAGTCAGTGATAGTGAGGCTGATGGGAAATAACGAAGTAGTCCTCTTGCAAGAGGGGGAGATGTTGGGTAGATGAAATGAGGGGTCTCTAGTTGGGGATTTCAATTTTTTTCAGTCCATGCTTACTTGAACGGAAGACCTGAATCTGAAGTTTTAATTTTCTCTCTGGCAGGCCAAAACTGTGCTCCCCTGTGCAACAAGGAAAAACAGGTGAGCATTGACCTCTTTGAATCCGTAAAGCAGAATCTGAACCTTTGCCTTCATAGTCAGATACACCACAAATTAAACTGAGCATCCATCTTCTCTCCTGCTGTGTAGGCTCCTGCATTGACCTGGAAAGTGGGCAACCCACTGCTTCCCCCCCCCAAGCATGCCCACAGGCAGATAGTCACCCAGGGGCATCTGCAGAGCACGGTCAAAAAGTCAAGGTGGCGCCTGCGCCAGCGCGAACAAAGCTTGCCTATTTTTCATGCGCAACACAGACAAATCAGGCAGAGCTTCAGTTGCACCGTTGTGACTGCCACCTTGACCTTTTGACCATACCCTCCAGGCACCCCTGAGTAAAGTCGACTGCCCTTTGCTTGTTTGTAGCCTTGCGGGTTGTGCAAATCCAGCAATTCTGGTGTGTGGCAGTCCCTGGCTAAAGGCAGGCTACTTAACAAATTTCCGGGGAATTCCGAGCATGCTGGAGACGTATTTATTTTATTCTATCAAATGTGGATGTCACCAAGTTGTCCAGGCTCGTGGCAACTTACAACATAATCAGGTTATTGTCAAATGCTACACAATGCTCACCTTAGCAAACAACTAGTGGTGTTTCTGCAACTTGCGATGGGATGTGACATGGTGGAGTTCTGGAATCACCCCTGCCCGGGCAGATAACACTAAGCATCTTGGCTACATATTAACTCCGTGGAGTTACACAAGACCAAGCTCTCAGGGCTGTGGTCAATAAAACACAAATTGCTCTTTCATTCCACTTCCTGTTGGCATTGGGATCTTTGCTCCCCAGCCTGAGATCTTCTTTTTGTATTCCCACATCTGGGGTGGAGATGTGGAAACATTTTATCTCCATGGGAAAAGGAGGTGCCTGCTTCTCTTTCCATGCTCTGCAGACGCTGGGGTGCCCAGGGGTCCCTGAAGACGTGAGGGTTAGGAGACGGAGTTCACCCATCATGCTAAGCCTATGATTTGCTTGAATCTTGGTTTATTGAAGAGCTGAGTTCACTGGACAAGATATAATGGGCTTGGGTAGCCACGGTCTTTCAGACCTGGCCGTTGTCTCAGCATCTTGAGTGAACCAGGCCATGATGACGTTAAGCCATACTGTGGTTTATTTGAAACTGAATACAACAACGTTCACTCAGGTGTCAATGTTGTATGAACCCTGCCAACAGTGCCCAACGATGCGAAAAACAATAACGACCTTGTGTGACGGGTGAATCCAGCAGTCTGAATTATTTGGCAGATTTGCTGCTTCAACAGCTGCAGTGAAGAAGCGCCTATATGCCCCCCACCCCTGGCCTGCCAGCAAATCTAGACCTTAAAAAATAGCAGTCGTTCCCACAAGCAAGAAAAAGAAAGTATTGAATTGCAGTTACACTTACATTTTTACTAAAAACAACAAACCACAGACAACATTCCCTTCATCTTTCGGTAGCAAGAGAAAGCAGAGGCTTATAAAAACAGGATTTGCAAATCATCGTAGCTGGAATCGCAGAACCGTCTAAGCCGGAAGGGAGCAAACCAGCCCCATTGTGGCCAGTGCAAAGACAGACGGGAATCCCCAGCAGGGTCCGAATGGAGGCTGAAGTTCATCCAGCCTCTTGCCCAAGGACTCGAGGGCAATGAATATGGATTTTCTCTTCCACCCCGTCCTATATTCCTAACACAGACTTCACCTGGGGAATTTCTCCATTTTAATCACCCTGCCACGCCGTCACCCGCTTCGCTTTCTTCCCCTCACATCCTTTTTCCCCGAACTCAAGCAAATAATGTATTGAGTATACTATGATGGTGTCCTTTCTTCTGTTTTAAATTATTTTTTCCCCTGATTATTAGCTGCTTGAGGAGTGGGAGGACTTTTTGATGGATAGGTAGAGCAATAGTAATTGACTTATTTCAAATATATTAATATTTATTTATTTATTTATTTGGATAGTTATAAGGCTGCCCAACTCATAGTTGACTCTGGGTGGTGTCCATCCATCCATCCATCCATCCATCCATCCATCCATCCATCCATCCATCCATCTTAAAAACTCAACCTAGAGAACCCAATTAACAAAATATAACAAGCACATAAGCCAAATCTGGGCATAACAATCACGCCATCTCCCAAAAGGATGAGCTCAGATACCATCCTGGTCCAGGGTGTGGGAGGAAAGCAAGTTCTTCCCAGCCCTGCAAAAAGTCAAAAGGGTTAGGGCCACCTGAACCTTGGTAGAAGCTAGTCCCAAAGGCAGCTGGAGCCAGAGAGAAGAGTCCCAGTAGATGACACTTCCTCAGAGAAGGGAGCTGGACCATGCCTGCCCTGTGACAGATGAGAAGCAGACAGTCCAGAAAACAGTGTGCCCCTCTGCCATATACGGCTTTGTAGATGATAACCAGCACTTTGAATTGCACCCAGAATCTGACAGGGAGCCAGTGCAGTTCAGAGTAGTGGTGTGACACGGGGGTACCTAGGTGTGCCCATAACTATGTGCACTGCTACCTTCAGGACAGCTTGCACCTTCCGGATGGCCTTCAAAGGCCTCCCCGTGTTCAGCCGTAGATACCCAAATGGGATGTGGCCAAAGCATGGGTGACTGTGAGTGGGTCCTCCTGGTCCAGAAAGGGGTGCAACTGGCACATGAGATGAGCAAAGGCTCTGCTAGCCACAGCTGCCATCGGCTCTTCAAACAGGAGTCGTGCGTCCAGGAGGACCCCCAACTGGGGGAGTCCAAGAGCCACCCAGAACCAAGGATGAACATTCTCCAGATCTGGATCTTCAGGGACGGGGGCAAAACCCACAGCCACTTGGTCTCGCTGTGGTTGAGTCAAGGCCTGTTCTTCCCCATCCAGACCCCCACAGCCTCTAGTGCTCTAGACACTCAAAAGCATCACTTGGTTGGCCCAGGGCAGAGACGTACAATTGAGGACCATCAGCACCACCATCATACTTAACCCTGTGCCAATGAATGGCTGTCATGTAGCTCAGTGTTTCTCAACCTTGGCGGTTTGAGGATGTGTGGACTTCAACTCCCAGAATTCCCCAGCCAGAATTCTGGGAGTTTAAGTCCACGCATCTTAAAGTCACCAAGGTTGAGAAACACTGTATAAAGAACGGAGTGGAAGTCCAACACTTCTGGTTGAGGACGGCTGCCAAAGTATATCCCCCCAGAGCATTTTGGTCTGGGGTCCTGGCAGATCTCTTAAATGCGCTTCTGAAGTTTGGCTTCTTCCTTCTCTTCCAGCCATTCTCATCTCCTGAAAAGCTCCCTAGCAAGTGGCCTCAGGATCCCAGGGCCCTGGGGCAGGAGAAGGACAGTCTCTTGCAGAGGTCCATCTCCAGCAGTCTGGACAGCCCACCCGGGTCCGAGAAAAGCAGCGAAACCTGCGACGGATGCGCTTCCAAGGTGGAAGCGGACAGCGTCCAACAGAGATCTCTGCCGCTAAATGACAGGCCGTGCTACAGCAGAACGGACTCAAGTAAGTTCCGGGCATGGTCAGATCTGAGGGCAGCTCCATTTCTCAGGTGCTGAGTCACAGCAGGCAGGGCTGAGCCATTGCAACTCCCAGGATCTTCAGCAAGGGGATCCGGCTAGCCACATATGGAGCTGTAGGCTGGCACAGCTGGAGCAGCATAACCTGGGGAAGGGAGACCAACAGAGTAAAATATAGAGGAAGAAAACGCTAGAGAAGACCAAACAGCTGAGGTTTGCAGAGATAAAGCAACTGGGACAGGTTTTTAAAAAATTCTCAGTGATTTGCAAAAAAAAAAAAAAATTAAAAACACCCAGAAAAATGAACGCCTCATCAAAAGCCAAAGTACAACCACCTTTGCACAGCCTTACAAACCACGGTTTACGAACCACAGTGGCTGGTTTTGCCACATCCACCATAACCAGACCAGGCAATCCATGTCTAGAACTTAGCCGCACACACAGACGGACACTTTCAAGTGTATTCTAACTCACCCTCCCTTCCAGTCCCAATGTTTTACTTTCTTTTTCAACAGGGATTTCTGGAAATGGGAAAACCCACGTGAACGTAAGCTGTGTCGTCAGCATCTGCAATTCAGGCCATGATCCACGGTCCCCAGCCCTGAACGGCTCGGGCACTGGTGAGCCCAGTGACCATGCGGACCTTCCCCTGTCGCAGGAAGAAACTGCAATGAAAAGAGAATCAGGAAGACAGACTGCAGTGGAAGTTGAGGACAGTATGGACTTCTTTGATTCCAGCGAGAGGAAGTCCCTTCCCTTAAGCATCCAGGATGCAGGCATGAAGACTTCATGAGAAGGGAGGACTGCCGGGGTGCCCCGGGCGGTTTTCCAGAAAGTGACTTTTGCTCTGCTACAGAAGCGACTCAAGAAATTCCCTAAAAGACTAAAGCAAAAACAAAGCTTGTGAAGCAAAACCAAGACATGCTTCTAAGGGATGATGATTTTTACTCACCATCCTGCTTCTTGTTTCAGGGGTGACAAAAGTGTGTGATGTTCAGGGTGGACACTGAATAGATTGGGGAGGATTTAGGGATCTCTGATGCAAACTGGGGGGTGGGGTGGGGTGGGCATGTTATGGGCAGAG